ACCTCAGAAGGACTCCTTTTAAGGTGCACATTGCTGGCCGAAATCGGGCTACCGTAAAGCTCACGAACTGTTGCCCTATAGTGCTCTACCTTACCAGAATAGTGCAGCTTTTCCTCACCATTACTAAATCGCACGCCAGTAGAAGTAATTTAAAGGAAAGGAGTAAGGGAATGAAATAAGAAGTGAAGGATGTAAGGATTGCATTAAAAAAGCCATCATTTGCCGTGTTGGGAGTGTTACCCTTTCTCGCGTTAGCGTACTATTCGCCAAGGGATGAAAAAACTAATAAGGCTTCTTAGGGTCACCATTTTCTGGAAAACAATTTCTTACACGTAGGCGGCCGTGTATGTCACCGGCGTTGTCGTGACAAAGTAGCAGGGCAAGTAGTTGGCAAATGGTGCCTACTAGACATATTAAGTAGTCAAGAACAAGTAGCTGCTGCGAAAGTATACTAGTAAAGTTGACCTCTTTTGTACAGGATCGAGCGGATCAGAGAAAATTATGGTGGCCAAACATAGGGGGATGAGGTGCCGAACACAAGATTAAAAGAGGTGGGTATTCGGCGAGGCGTCCCAATGGGGAATTAATGATTGCATGGTGATTTGAAAGCCACACTTGGAAGGAGAACATAGCTGATAACTAACAAATCAAAATGGGGCAATTCATCTATACCTTTAAAAAATGAGACAATTCGGTCACAAATTCAAAAATGCTCGATCTCACAACCATGCTTTTCAGCTGCAATGCCTCACGAATCAAGGATGTCTGCTGGGTGCTTTATGCCCGGTTGGGTTCACCTGCACACTGGATGGTCGATGTTGTCAGTTACCGGTCAGTTGCCCGGATGGCTCTGCACCTGAGGCCATGTGTGGAGGCCTGGCGATGTGCCCAAGTCCATTGCATATCTGCTACGCGATGGCTGAACGGATGAACGTTTGCTGTAGGCGAGGTAAGCGTTCTTTCTTCGACTAGAAAAATTTTAAAATTCCCGTTCTGATCAATAAATCTGACTGATTTGTTGTATATCGACAAAACGATGGTATTAGATTTTCTCTTAATTCCTTGACCCACTTTGTTTTTCAGAAACCGTCCCCACCATCCCCGTAGTAGGGTCGATGTGCCCTATGGGCAGCGTCGAGGTGAGCCCTCGATTCGGTGAAACCTGTAGATACAGTCTCCAGTGCCCTTCACCCTATTTCTGTAACGGCCAAGGACGGTGCTGTCAACCCCTGTTTTGAAGGTGAGTTCAACCTCATTCTCACCTTTACTTATGGAACTAATGACCTCTCATTTCAGAGACTCATCGTCGTCGAACAGCCGCCACCATTTCAATCAGCTTTTCTTGCTTTTTAACCTATTGCATGACAAAATAAACTGTTTTTATACTAACAAGCATGCGTTCATTATTGAGCGTTCTCTCCAGAGAACCGTTCACGACTACACCTTCATCTCCCGTCCAAGGCCACAGATCCCTTCAAAACAACTTCAATTTCAGGGCAACAAGCAAGTGGACTCTTGTGCACATTCTCATCGTGTTCCAATTCAAATCCGTGCTCCGTGGGAACCTGTAACAATGGTTACTGCTGCAGTTCCAGTTCAATGCCCTCATTTGGTGAGTTTGTTCACAGCACGATTACGATTCTCCCACCTAACCTGCAGCATGTTCCAGCACAGAAACACTTACGCACCGCTAGGTCACTAACCAAAACCAAAAGCATTCCAAAGGAACTTGAAGAAAACGACTGGCCAGTTGGACCACCTGGTTATGGGTATCCCGACCATCTCGCTCGTCTTGACTCGGTTCTCGTCAAAGCCACTGGAGATGGCAGTACGTGGTTCCGGTAGAAACCTGCTCTGGGTAGAAAGCAGCACCAGCACCATCCGCCCATCGCTCAACTAAGATGGAAAAGGAGAAGGGGAGCTCCGCCTACTATAAGGAACACGCCCACACCCAACAGTGGTGATCACCCTGAGCTGCTGGACTGCTGGTGCTGTTTTCAGTTCTGGGGTGTTATTCCGAGTGCGTGAATTTTCACAGCTCCCATGACCTTCTTTAGAAGGGGCAGCAAGCCTTTGCTACCCACTTCATAGGACCTCCCAAGCTTCCTCGATAATGTTCTTTAACTAGAAGCACGGCAGGCTCAACATTCGTTTTAGCCGACAATTATCGGCCGCTTATGGTCAGGTAGCCGTGACCGCATCCGGAATAACACCCACCACGTCGCACCCACTCTCACAATCACCCCTTCGCATGTTGCACTGTTCAGGTAGCTGTGCTGGCGGTTTCAACAGCACATTGCGGTGTTCGCCAGAAAACCTCTGTCCGCCAGGATTATTCTGCGACCCAGAACTGCGAGCATGCTGTCCACTGATCCTTCCACTGATCGACGCCAATACCGCTCCACAGAGTGTCGCGTCATGGAAAAAAGAACTCGACTCGCAGACAACTGACGAATCGTCCTCTAGCGGCACACGAAGGTTCTCCCGACCCTGTCGACGATATCCATGCAGTCAGTGCAAATCGCATGCTTCTCTAACTGTCCCTAACCTAACCGATTCAGTTCAAAACAATTTCTGTCGTTTATTTAGTGCCGCCGATTTCATCCTCGAATTGCGTTGGCTGCGTTCAGGCCGCTCCTCCACAACTCTACGCTCTACGTACGTCTAATATGCTTTATCTCTGTTCAAGTCTTCTTTTTCTCAGTTCTGTTCTGTTCCTAATAATCACCTCTTCTCTATGTTTGGGTTTCCTCAAATTCAGCTCCATTTGCACTTGTACCACTTATTGAGCCCTGAGCAGCAGCCCAGACTCAGAAAAGCCGGTCAAACAGATGTGCTCGAACTTTTCTTCCGCGGTTGTTCCTATGGTTGGTCTGGAAGGGGAAAGGGCGCCCTAGAAGTGGTAGCGTGGAAGTGCTGTTGGCTGTTTTTTCTGCAGTGGAGTAATTCGGACACCTCTGGGCAAGTCGTAATATAAGTGAAGCGATCGAGACTATGCACCCATTACGAGGAGCGTGTTTTTTCTTCTGAGCTCCGTCACCTATCCGATTCATTGACGCGGTTTTCACGGCAGAACCGCCGAAAGGAAGGTACTGTAATAGTTTTGAAGAAGTAACCAGTTCTTGGACTGAGACTGAAAGAGCTAATCGGATAGTGCTGGCAAGGGTACCTAAGGAATGAAGAGGTCATTTCAGAGAAATCATTTTACGTTTAGCTAAAATCCTGCATGACGCTATGCGCCTCGGGTTGGAAGGAGGTCGTTCTTCACGTCACGTCGCGATACGACAAAGCCACATCATGTTGTCTGGTGGGGGTAGGGAGGAGGGGGTGCAGAGAAGTGGGAGGCGGAGTGTGAGAGAGCACGTATACTTGTTCTGAATAAGCCGTGTGAGAAGATAGCTCCAAATCCCTGAGATTTGGTAGGCGTGCCCAACATGTACGGTCCGTATGACACCGAGAAGGCTTGATATGATTCATATGAAACGGGAAAAGCACGAAAAGCCAACAACCCCTCTCAAAAGGCCAGAAGGCAATACGACCCCTCTCTCTCTGCCCACAGCGAGCCAATACGACCGCACCCCCCTC